CCGGTCCGGCGGCGGCTGGAGCGGACCGCGGCGGCGGCGGCACGCGCCCGCCGGCCTGTCAGCTTCCCGTGCCGACCTTCGGCCCCGCCGCCGCAGCCGCCGGCCGCCGTCGCCGCCGTCGCCGCCGTCGCCGATGACGACATGTACGACGATTGCAACACGGAGGCGCGGCGGGCACGCGAGCCGCCGTCGGACGAGAACATCTACTCGACGATCGACGAGGCGCCCGAGGAGCACCTGTACTCGACGCCGCCGGAGGAGCCGGCCGACGACGACTTGCTGTCCGAGATAGCTGCAGAGCTGCGCACTAAGGACACTTCGCTGTACGCGGCTGTCAACAAGAACCGCGTCCGCGGCCGGCCGACGCCGCCGGCCGGCGCGCTCTATCAGAACGTGCCGGAGCCGCCGCCGCCAGCGCCGGCACGGGAGGCCGGCGCTGGGTCGACGGCAGGAGCAGACGGGAACAGGCGGCCTGGAGGGGCAGGGGGCAAGCCAGAGGTGCCGCCCAAGGTGAAAGTGTTGTCGACAACAGGTCGTGGCTCCCGCTCCGGCGCCGAGACGGGGGCAGCAGGCGCAAGGCAAAAGCACACTGTTGACAGAAAGCCCGGAAATAGCAAGCCCCCCGACCTACCCAAGAAGCCGGACCTCAAGCGGCCACCGTTCAAGTGACTAGTCATCTCTCAGCTAGTTCAGTGACATCGGTCCTTACGTCTCCGACGGAGTGGAAGTTGGGGAGAGGGCGAGGGCTCGTCCGAGTCCTCGGCGGCGGGTCGGTGCCCCTCGTCAGTGCCGTGCCGCCGCACGGCCGCCGGCCATCACCATCTCGTGCCTCCGTAGCGTCTACCTCGCAACAGAGCCCAGAGCAGCTCATCGAATATCGGCATTGGCAGGTGGTACGGGTGGGAGGGCGCCCGTGCCGCAGAGGTACGGCGCGGCGGCCGACCTGCCGCGCGCGCGCGCGCACGCTTGAGCAGTGCATGCCGAGGGCGCGGCGTCTGCTTGAGCGCGGCTGGTGGCGCCGCACGTGACTGCTGGCGTCTGGGCGTGTCGAGGAGCCGCTGCCGGGGCTACGAGCCCGGTGTCGGGTATGAAAGTGGACCTGCCGCCGTGACCGGGGTGTTCGTTAGAAGCCTAGTGTGCGCCGAACGGCCGTTGGCGTTGACGTGCTGCGGGAACGGGGCGGCGCGTACAGATTACTGCTGCTTGCCGTGTTGCGCATCGGCATTCATTGCGCTAGGCAAACTGAATTGTGTTCTCGGTCATTTGCACGCAACTACTTGCCCTGTCTCATTACCCCGCAGTTATACTGGGCTCGTGTAGCGTCAGCCGTCCGCGCAATAGATACTACTTGACGTAGCTAGGAAGTGAAGATCTTGGGGCATTCGGTGTGAAAGTGGGCGAGTAGTTGCTAACTCAGCCCTGCCCTTGGGGGCCTGAGCTGAGCAACCAACCAAACACACATTCTAGTGTCTGGAGTGTGAGCCTGTGCGCACGGCCAGTCAGGGCGGGCAGCGCGGTCGCGTACTTTGTCATTGTTTTGTTATCGTAGCATTATTGCCTACTTCACGCCAGATGTTCGCTTTGTATGGCGCTTGCGGTTGAAAGAGTGGCATGACGTTGGCACATTGTGAACAACACAACACGATCTGAAACACGCACATGTTCAAAACGCGCCGCGTTTTAAGTTGGCCCGAAACTATACCGTGTGGTCAGCCTGGGGACATCAGTGGCGTGCGCGGTCCGTATGTGCTCTATAACGTCTACAAGTGTGAACATACCAACGATCGTCTTTCGATTCCGGAGATTTGGGTATAACAAGAGGTGAAACTGGCCGACAGATATTGACTCCAGCTTGTTAGCTCGTCGCCGTGTTTTCACGTGGCCCGATGATTGCTGTCGGTTGTGATTGCGGCTCGCCGGGGGGAAGGAATGTCTCCGACGCTCCACTCAGCATGTTTTTACGCGCCTGCGTTTTTGAGGCATATCTGGCTAAGATCTTTTTGTGAAGTGCGTCTTTACTTGCATCGAATATTATCTCAATGGCTCGTTGTGATAGATTGCTTTATATTTCCTGCATGCGTTTTTGCTACTGGTACAGCGTGGCTTCCAGCGATAGGCCTGCAGCAGGTTTGATCGATGTTTGTTGGTGTGGTTATTTGTCAGGATTATGTTGTGCATGTGTGCACATCGACAACTGTGGATCCCAGCCGAATGTTCTCATCGGTGCCCTGTCAGGTGTCAGCCGAACTTAGGGAGGGAACAGAGTGGTGTTTGAAACAAGAACGTGCCCGTTTTGTACATTTCAAGTTGCGTACCAACCTGTATGAATAAAGGAAGATCTGCTATGAATGGCTGTCCTCCCAGCGTGATGGCAGACAATGATGTGAAACACATTGCGGTTTTATTTATCACTGTGTTTGGCTTTCATCAGACTCGGTGTTAAAGTTTTCACTCTGTCAGTTGAAGTATACTAAGTGTATACAAGTAATACTATACAGTGTATACGAAGTACAAGGTTAAATATACAGGGTATACAAGTAATCAGTCTTTCGCAAGTAGTATTGCACCATCATGAGGGACGATCGCAAAGTTGCATTACTGATAACTTTCAGGCACGGCCTCGGGCTACTTGAGGCGTTCAATTCGCGCAAACGCCGCTTTACATGCGCATTGATTGCTGGGCGATCTGTGCATACCGACCTTAAGTGTGCGAAACGGAGACACGTCGGCTGGTAGAGCAAAGGCTGTATTTGTGGGCAGACTCGACGTAAATACTGATCAGCATCTGAAGCGGGAGAACGCCGCGCGAACCGAACAGGGTTCATATTTGCCGAAAGGTGCATGGTGTCGGCGTAACGATGTTCTCCTGACCCCAGTGCGCCTGGACTTGCATTGCCCCAGTGCGCCTGGGCTTGCATCGCTCCAGTGCGCCCGGGCTTTCATCGCCCTAGTGCGCACGGACTTGCATTGCCCCAGTGCGCCTGGGCTTGCATCGCCCCAGTGAGCCTGGGCTAACATCACCCCAGGGCGCTCGGGCTTGCATTGCCCCAGTACGCCTGGGCTTGCATCGCCCCAGTGCGCCTGGGCTTGCATCGCCCCAGTAAGCCTGGGCTAGCATTGCCCCAGTGCGCCTGGGCTTTCATCGCCCTAGCGCGCCTGGGCTTGCATTCTTCCGCCCGTGACGGCTCTTGCTCGTGATTCATCGGACCAGCCATAATTTGTTCCACCCGCTGGGCCTGTGATCCACCGAATCAGCTAGGGCCTGTTCCGCCCGCTGGGCTCGTGACCCACCAGACCAACCAGGGCCTGTTCCACGTGCTGGGCTCCGTGTGGGAGTCCATGGGACAGTTCATGGAACAGTTCACAGACGATATATGTGGAAGCAAACACATTCCCCACCCTCCTTGGCGAGTAGAAATGCATATTGCTACGCATGAACCGAAGAAGGCAGCCGAATGCCACGTCCTCTCCCTCACCTCACACCCGCACGAACGCTGAGCAGTGACCTTGGCCAAAGAATAGTACTTCCGTGTGAGGTCAAGTTTCCAGGGGAGAGCCGCAGGCGAATGTCACGTCCCGTCCCCACACCTCACACCCGCACGAGCGCTGAGCAGCGACCTTGGCCAAAGAATGGTACTTCTATGTTAGGTCAAGTTTCCAGGGGAGAGCCGCAGGCGAATGTCACGTCCCCTCCCCACACCTCACACCTGCACCTCACACCCGCGCGAGAGCAGTGACCTTGGCCAAAGAATGGTACTTCCGTGTGAGGTCGAGTTTCCAGCGGAGTACCGCAGCGGAGTGGTCATCAGCCACCGCTCCGTGCGCGAGCTAACCCGCACCTGGAGCCAGCTCGGAACCTGTAGTGGGCGCGTCGCCGTCCGCGCGGGCTGTTCTTGTTCCACAGTGCATTACACTGAAAGATGCAATGTCATAATGAACGATCTATTTTAAGTCTCATTAGGGAATCTAATGAAGGGAAGTACAAAGGTCAGTGTGACGGGAAGGTGACGCATGAATGTTTGAATTGCCTAGGTGCTGCAACATATCTCGATGCTGCTTTTAGGCACAGCAGGCGGCTCAAGACAAATGACAAGCAGATCTACCGCCGGCTGATCGGCTCTCACCGCCACCACCAGCTACCAGGCTGATCGGTTCTCACCGCCACCAGCTACCAGCTGATGGGTTCTCACCGCCACCAGCTGCCAGCTGATCGGCTCTCACCGCCACCAGCTACCAGCTGATCGGCTCTCACCGCCACCAGCTGCCAGTTGATCGGCTCTCACCGCCACCAGCTACCAGCTGATCGGTTCTCACCGCCACCAGCTGCCAGCTGATCGCCTCTCACCGCCACCAGCTACCAGCTGATCGGCTCTCACCGCCACCAGCTGCCAGCTGATCGCCTCTCACCACCACCACCAGGTACTAGCTGATCGGCTCTCTCAGGCCACGATGGAACTGTACTTTCCGTCATTAAATATTTCTTTGCTGCTGTTCTATGCTATGCCAGCCAATGCGGACTGTTGGTGTGAGGCTCACAAACACGGCAAAATATTAGGTCTATAATATTCGCTTATCACTGAAGATGTAATATTTTTGAAACGCAACACGGAGTGCCAGCTGGCGCTGGGACCGGTATGAAGATCCACCTTTGGGAGTTATCTGGGGCTGCACGAATGGCACGCCACTCCACATAGCCTTCCATGCCAGGAGCATACAGTGTAGCTTTTCATGCTAGGAGCGTCATGCAGGGTAAAAATTTGTTCTGATTTCACTTGCCATAGCATGAAAATGACCAGCCACGCTGACAGATGTGCTGATGCAAAATATTCGCCGAACCATACATACTTTTGGTATGCATCGTTTATGCCTTGCCATCAGTCAGGAAGCTCCTTATAAACTATAAGGAGTTAATAAGCTATAGCTCGCGCTTTAGGTGCCCTTTTTTGGAGCCAGAAGTCTGCGGACCTTGTCATTTCAGCGAAAGCGCCTGCGAATGCGTTATGTGTTATTTTGCTGGCCACCTGGCCGAGGGCATCCACCAGGCCACCTGGTCGAAGCATCTATCAGACCACCTGGCCGAAGGCATCTGTCGGGCCACCCGGCTGGAGGTATCCATCAAGCTACCACCTGGGCGAAGGCATGTGTCAGGCCACCTGGCCGAAGGCATCCATCAAGCCACCGAGACTCTGATGACTCGTCATGTAGACTTGGAATCTCAGAAACACCATAAATACACCGGGTTGCCCGTTTTTTCAGCTGATGACACGTTCTGTGCAGCTTCTCTGCAACCAGGCTAGGGCCATCCCTGAGTGTGGAAAATCACCTGTCATGGTAGAACGAGATAGTTTCCCTTTCGCGATCAGTGTCTTATTCCAGCTGCTTCCATAGGCACTTCAGCATGCCGACGTACCGCCTGTCGTTTACTGTGGTTGTGGAACCGTCGGAAGGTATGGAAGAGAACCGCTGGAACTCATGGCGCACCACGTTATCATCTCTGAACTATGCAGTGGGTCCTCCAACACGGTGTCGGGCAGCCCCGAGACCCAAATTCTGCGGTTTTGAGTCGTAAATCATTCGAAGAATCACACATTCCGGAGGAAAAACGGCCTCATCGCTGAACCAGGCGAGGTTAAAAACCCGGGACCAGCTTCAGCCTTCGCCATCAGCCGCGTATCAAATATCATTCGCTGTTATTCATCGGCTCCTGCCATGTTCTGGTGGATGGCAAATATCTAGGGGAAAAGTTTGAGGCCATTTTGCAGTGTATGTCGTGCGGTCGAGGAACCGATCACGACATCCTGTGCGACCTTTCGGATGGACTTTCATGCATCCCAAGTGACACAGTTGACTGTTGAGATGCCCTTTGCTGTTCTGTTTAATGAATTGCTGGGTCTTGGCTAGTGCTGCCCTCTGTGCTAGCTGACCTGGGCTTCAATATATCGTTCCGCGTGAGCTGTTGCGTTCATGCTACGAGACCTGCCCATCAGAAGAACTGAAGACGGAACACCTGGCGACGAGCTTTCGGACCGGCGTGGACACGGTGTCACCGAACCTGGTCGAGAGTCCCGGGCGATGCGGCAGCGATCGTGAAGTGGCGGACGGCGGACGGTGCACGGTGAGCTCGGCGGACGGAGACAGTCTGGCCGTTCGAGACTGTAAGGAGCAGCTGTAGCCGTCGGGGGCAACCGGGTTCCAAGTAAGGCAACTGAAAGACAGCTGAGGCACAGCCACGGCAAACGCCAAGAGGTCCCGTGACAGGTTTTTGCGACAAGTGCTCCGGGCGTGCTCAGGCTGGTCACATGAAGGCTCGCTGTGTACTCAACAGGTCCAAGACAAGGTGCTTTCAGGGTGGGGAGCCGGGACATCTGAAGCGGGAGTGTAGGAAAATAAAACATCTGGGCACGGTATAGGAGAAAGCCAGGTGGGACAGTCGTATGAGTTCCAGTGCCTTCTGTCAGTTGAGCCCGGTGGTCTTTGATCTGTGCAAGTGGGCGAGAGCGTCAACAGATCTCCTACAGCCAAGCTTCAAGTGAATGGGACAGACATGGAGTTCGTTATTGACACTGGCTTGCCCGTAACCATCGCCAGTGCCAGGACGCTCATTCCAGGGCTAAGGCTGAGGCCACGCCAACAGAAGGGCATCGTCCAATGGCCAGCCGGTTCCTTTGGCTGGAGAAGCTGACGTGGTGGTTAAGACGCTTGGTGAGCACAGGACACTTCAGCTGGTGGTGAGTGGGTTGCCCCCCACAACCCTTGTGGGAAGGGAATGAATTGCGCCTTTCTGTTAGTTAGCTTAGTTAGTAGTTAGTAATTAGTTAGTTAGTTAGCCTTAGTCTGTCTGAGGCCGCATGGGTAGGTGAAGGTGATCGAAGTTTCATTGGAGGTTGGTCCGTTCAGGCTGGTCATCCTTGGTAGAGCCGGAGTTCAGGCCATTTGAACAGGGTCAGGAGGTGCTGTCAACTGATGAAGACTGTCTGCCCTGGAGTGGACGTGCTGTGGTGCCTCTCCAACTGCGTAACAGAGTGTTGCAGGATTCGCATGGCGGTCATCCGGAATCGGGAAAAATGAAGCACCTGGCCGGAAGGTATGTCTGGTGACCCGGTCTCGACTATGGGCTGGAGGCTCTGGCCAGTGACTGCCGTGTCTGCGTGGAATAGCGGGTGGCGTCTGCTAAGGCAAGCCTTCACCCTCGGGGGCTCTCGCAGAGCGCATGGGTACGGGTGCACACTGACTTAACCGGACCATTCCAAGGTAGTACGTTGTTCATGATAGCAGCTCGAATTGGTTGAAAGTGGTCACGATGAAGACTACTGCGGCCAAATGTATAATGCGACAGCTGAGAACGCTGTTTGCTAGGTTGGAGTTCCAAAACAGATCGGGTCCGATAGCGGACCGCATTTCAGCTCGGCCGAATTTGGGGAATTCATGAGACAGAACAGGATTCGTCACATCCGTACTGCTCCCTGCCATCCGTCAAGTAACGGGGCAGCGGAGAAGGCAGTCTGAACCGTCAAAAACAGTCTTAAGGCAAGTGTTCAGAATGGGCAAAATCTGGCAACAATGCTGGTCAGATTTCTGATAACATACCGCACTACCACACAGGTAGCCACCGGGCGGTCTTTTGCGGAACTGCCGTATGGTCGGAACCTCAGAACCCGGCTCGACCTCCTCCGTTGCGACCGAGCATTGGTTGTCTCCGAGTAACAGGAACAGCTAGTACAGACTGGGGGTGACAGTCAGCGTAGTTTTGGCCCTGGCGAGCACGAGTGAACTCGCAGCTTCTCCGGACCGAAGTGGCGAAGGGGACGCATCACAGCACAGACGGGACCAGTCACGTGTGAGGTAGATGTCAGGGACGCCTGCTGGAGCGGCATGCTGATCAGCTGCTGCACACAGGAGAGACTGCGCGCCCGGTGACACCAAAGGGTGCCGGAGTGGGCCCAGATCCTCCGTCTACAGCGTGGATACACCCGTCGATGCGCCGCCAACGAGCCCGGTGGGAGAGGGTGCATTGGCTTGCATCTGGGGATGCATCATCGTTGCAGGAGGCGCCGCAGTTAGTGCCGCTCTCGGCTGGTGGACAGCCACCGCGGGTTTCACAGGTCCGTCCAACGTTCAGTCCGTACACGTGTCGGCGGGGGAGGCTGTAGTGAAGTCGACGGAGGGGCTGTGCTGGCCCCGGCTTAGGCGCGGTGGCGCCGCTGCCGTCAAGGGCTGAGCCTCCTGGCGTTCAGATAAGTTTGCCGCGTTCGAGTCGAGTCCGCCGTGAACATGATAGACTAGTGGTTGGATTGTGAAATGCAAATGATACTGCTTGGCATGTTGTGAGCAGGACCTGCATTATGCCGGAGGTTCATGTGAAAACCGTGTCTTCGTTTGCTTATTTCTCCCTAGTAACGCTGATGTGCTAATGTTTGTTTGCATAGCGTTAACGGTTCTGGAACGGTCCACGCACGTTTTCAATTTCTGACAGTGTCAAAGTCAATTATTATTATGTTCCTCAGTGAATTTTGTTCGGCAGGTGGTGGCGCTGGGTCTTGGCTAGTGCTGCCCTCTGTGCCACGTGCCACGTTGACCTGGGCCGTGACCCGAGGGCTAGCGGGGAGTCGGTCAGGCCTCGCTGCGAGTGGGCTTCAATGCGCCGTTCCGTGCGAGCTGTTGCGTTCCTGTTCCGGGAGCTGCCTATCAGAGGGAGTGAAGACACGTTAATTCTCCCCTTTCTTCCTTTGTTGAGGTGAAGCACAGACCCGTCTCTCAGAGGTTCCTCCCGCTCGAGTAGCGTGATTTTCCCGTAAGGGGCGTACCAGGTTTAGAGGTCAACTCTGATCTGCCCGTCCGTTGCAACGAGGGGTCTGGTTGGACAGGCCAGAAGGATAATTGTTGCCTTTCGCTCCGTCATGAGCAGCACATTGGTCAATACACCAAGATCATGTAAACAAGTAAGCAGGTCAACACGTGAACATGCTAAGAAAGTAAACATAGGGCACACCAACTGAAGCTCCAAAGCACGTGATATCGAACGTGCTGCACGTGTGCGCAATAGTGCTTGTGTGCTATTAGGCTCCGTCATAGGCGCAACAAATCAGGCAATGTTTTTCTTTCCCGGTATTTCCTCAACAGCTGTGATCGGCACCGGTTCTGGTACCGACCTTGGATGCGTGGGTTGCACGCATGGGTCTTTAGCAAACCGCGCAGATTTGACAGGACCCGTAACTGGTAAATACCAAGACCTGCCTGCAACGTATTTGACGCCGGCAAAGCACCGACATAGATCAAGTTGCGTGCACTGCTACAGGGCTACCGGTACTGGTAGAGTGCACTGGCTGCTGGTACCAAGAGTCAAAAACGTGGCATATTTGGTTCATTCCGACATCGGTAAGGCGGTACATATTTTCTCACATTTCAGTAGGTTTAAGCATAATAAGCACCTCTACTCATAACCACTTACTGGGAAAGCCCTTACACCTTCCATGAGTGTCCGACCTTTGGGGCATATGTTAAAAACGAACTGTAGTGAAATCTCAAGACTAGTTACGTCCAATAATGGCATTGGGTAGTGCCACTGCAGCACCGTCAAGGCAAAAGGATATTGATTTGAATTATTTTCAAGTCCGAATTACGCTGGCAACGCTTTGTAACAGCACTACACTTCTTCCCGGCAGTTGCGATCACCGTTGTCACAACTACTGTGTGCACCTCTGCTTGTGCGAATAAAAGAACGTTCGTCATTGGCCAAGCGGGCAAGAGCCTATCACCGAGAAGCGCATTGGTTGGAGTTTGAATCAGTGCGTCACTATGGACCCTATGGTACTCTCATTCCCGAAGGCAAAGTGCGCCTCGCAGAGCCACCGTGGCTGACGCAATAGCGGAGCAAACAAAGCCATAGCATAACATGTGTTGAATTCGCGGGACAATAGCTTAATGTTCGCATATCTGTTTGCCTAATTAGAGTGCTTCAGGCCTTCGCATCATTTATTATGTAAACATTTTGTCACATTAGCTTATTGCAAACATTACAGAACACAAACCGTGGAAAAAAACAAGGCAAATGAAATCCATTCCTTTTAGAGTGGTGAGCAGGGAGTCCAATGAGATTTCTCGTGCAGGG